TCTTAAAATAAACAGTTTTCAATTCGATATAGTATTTCCTGTGCCTGTTCTCTGCCCCAGACATTAGGTCTAGTACGAGGGGCATAGCAAGGAACACAAAGGAAAGTCCCTGCTTTTGGGGTGCTAATATTTTCATGGTGCCCAAGAGATATTCTGGGTGCTGGAGAAGGAATGTGGGCACCTGGGATCAAAGACAGGGTAGAAGCCATCTCCAGAAAAGGAATTAGGATGCTCTGACCTTCATCTGGCTGGATCCCCTTCCTTTCCTGAAAGATGGCATCATGGACGTTTGCAGGCTATCTATGTGGACAGACCTGTGTCCCATCTCCCGTCTCTGCTCCCTGGCATAGTGCTCAACCATCGATGACTGGCAGGTGTCCTCCCTTCATCAAGCTGCTGTGGGGTCCACCTGAATGGGCACAGTAACAGTGGTGCAGGGTAGGGCCTGGCACGTGCCAGTCATGATGTTGCCTTGTATGCCCATGAATCTTTCCAGAGCCTACAAGCGTTCTGTGAAGGAAAGCAGAGAGGTACTGGGCCAGACAGAGCTGGGGGGAGCAGAGAGAGAGGGAACAAGGACCCCCCCACACACCCCACCACTACCTGCACGGTGTACTTAGACAAATAGTAGGAGGGGAAGATTTGCCAGTTTCTCCCAATCTGGATGATCTAGACACACACCCACTTTTCTGCTTGAAGTTATGGAGAAGGTGGGGGGGGTTATGCCGGAAGGGGTTTCAGAACTCATCAGCCAAGGGACCTGACCAGGAGGCAGCTGCGTGGCAGGCAGAGTGGGACAAGGGACAAAGTTAGACCCAAGTGTTGCCACTTCCAGTCTGCGTAACCTTGGGCAAGTTATGTAAGCCTTTCAAGACTCAATTTCCTCACCTGGAAAGGGGGAGAGCATAATTCAGACATCCAAGTTGCTGCAAGGATCAGAACATGTTAGGGAAAGCTGGGTTTGAAACCTGTTCAGGAGCCCGGTGACCTTGAACATGGTGCCTTACTCCTCTTTAGAAACGAGATCATAAGTCCTGCCCACTGGGTTATCTTGATAACTGGAAATAATATTGCCAAGGACCTGGTGACAAATTTGGCACATAGTAATAGACTATGGTCTCTGTTATCACCCTGGGTCCTTGTGAATCTATTTTAAATGAAGTCCAACCTAGCTTCTAAAAGAGTGCCAAGCACTTAGGAGGCTCTGGTAAGTATTTGTTGAGTGAAGAGCTATGTAAATGATCTGAACGCTGTCCATGGAAGAACAGCTCAGCCATCCACTCCAAACACCGTGCAGCCTTACACCCAGTCTCGGGGGCTCAGGGAGAGTCCCCGATGCCAGTGCCTCTTCCCAAAATGACATCATCACAATCTCCTGGAGGAAGGGCATACATCCAGGCCAGTGGCTGGGGCATCCGCTCAGGTGCTGGAGGGCAGTTGTGCAACCCCAACACAGCCTCGCTTCCTCCACTGAGCAGCCCCACCAGTGATTCTGCCTTTCCGGGGCGGAGAGGGGCCCCTTCCTGCAGTGTTTCTGGCCTGGGCCTTGGGCCAGCTGCTCTTGTACCAGACAGTTTGCTTCCCAAACTTCCCAAGGTCAATGCCTTCCAAGAAGTAACAACCAGGATGGGTTCTGAGGGATCCTTGCAGGGAGCTGTCCTCAGGGGCCCCACCCTGGGGTTCAGGGCCGGGCTGGGTGCCAGAGAACACTCTGGTCTTCAGTCATAGTGTTTAGTGAGCACCTACTAGGAGTCAGGAGCTATTCTAAGGCACCGGAAATGCAACTGAGACCTGTGGAAGCCCTGCCATCATGGCTGATGTGGGGGACAGACAGTTAAACACACACACACACACGTAATGATAAGCTGTAACAAATTTCAGGAAAAAAAACAAAATGCCCTATAAGGGAATAAAGAGGAGCAAAGATCAACCAGTGAAGTTCCTGCAAAACAGCCACAGTCATAGACACAATTTGTTGTTGTTGTTGGGTTTTTTTAAAAAAATATTCATTTATTTATTTAAGGGAGAGCGAGAGCGAGAGAGAGAGAGAGAGAGAGAGAGCAGGGGGAGGAGCAGAGGGAGGCAGAGAAAGAATCCCAGGCAGACACTGTGCTGAGCACAGAGTCCAACACGGGGTTCGATCCCACAACCCTGAGATCATGACCTGAGCTGAAACCAAGAGTCAGACACCCAACAGGCTGAGCCACCCGGGGGCCCGGACTTGGATGCAATTTGTGCATCACAATGTGGTTTCTATCCCAGAAACCTGGAAACAGCCTTTGCATCCAACAGTGCTGCAGATTGAATCGTGCCCCCCCAAATTCCCAAGTTGAAGCCCTGACCCCTCCCATGTGGTTTTTGGAGAGGGGGCCATAGGCAATCTGTCGTGATGGTGGGCTCCCCTAAAGAAAAACCAGAGAACTAACTGTCTGTTTCTCTCTCTCCTCTCCGCCCCACCCCCACCATGCAAGGCACAGACGGCCATCTTCAAGCCAGGGGGACGGTCCCTGCAGAGCTCCACTGCACCGGCACCATGATCTAGGACTCCCAGCCTGCAGAACTGTGGGAAAATACATTTCGGATGTTGAAGGCCACAGCCTAGCCTGTTTTATCATGCAGCCGATCTAAGACAGGGAGCGGGGACAATGATGCAGCTGGGATGCTGGTGCAGGTGGTACCCAGGCTCCCCACAGGTCTGTCTGCCCTCAGCCCCCGGCCCACCGCAGAGCCTTTCTTCTCTGCCCTGCCATGCCAAAGCATGTGAATCTGCAAAAAGGCTTTGCTTCCAAAGGACGCTGTTCCCTGTGTGCGAGCGTAGACACAACCCTATGAAATGTTCCCTTCCTGCAGGTGGCTCTTCTCAGTCTCTGGTCGAAGGTCCCGGGGCTTCTCCGCCCACCCAGAGAAGCTCTAAGTGTTGACAGCCCACAGATTTATCATTCCCAGCCTGATCCTCTCCAACTCCAGAACCATGTGTCCAACCAATGGCCTATAGGGCGTCCCCAACAGACTCGCATAGACAGCCGCACTTGCTGCCATGGCCTGCAGCCATTCCCTCCTCACCTCTCCCCAACACCTGTAGCCAGCTCCATCCCTCCTCGGGCTCAGGCCTCCCTGGACCTTGGAGAACTCCTTGATTCCTCACTTTTGCTGATGCCTCCCCCCGCCCCAGTCAGGTCCCTCTGCAAATCCTATTGGCTATATTGTCAGGGAATGTCCAGAATCTGACTGCTTCTCACCTCCTCCACGCTAGCACTGTGTGCCTGGCCCCATCACCCACCTGCCAGAGAGCAGCAACCTCCTCACTGGTCTCCCTGTGGCTGATTCTCCCACAGCTGCCAAAGAGATCAGACCGTGGTCCTCCTCTGCCCAAAATGTCCCCGTGTCTCTCCTTGTCACTTGGGGTAGATGCCAAAGTCCTCATGACAGCTGCGAGGCCCTTTGTGACTGGCTCCCCACCTCCTAGCATTGCCCTCCACCTCCTAGCATTGTCCTCCCTCCCCACGCCCTCCTCTACTGGATTCCAGTCATGCTCCAGGCATGTCTCTGCCTCAGGGCCTTTGCACAAGTTGTGCTCTTTCCTCAACCTGGAATATTGTCCCCCCAAATATCCACATTGTCACCTGCCTCAAGTCTGCTCAGATGTCCTCTTTTCTGACCACCCTATTTGAAATGGCAATCTACCCCACGCCCTCTTGTTTTGTTTTTCCACAATGCTAATATACTATGTAATTCACTTATTATATTTATTGCCTATTTGTTGTCTCTTTCTATTAAAAGAAAAAACATTCCACAAAGACAGAATTATTTGTCTGCTTTATTCGCTTTGCATCCTCACTGCCCAAACAGGGTCTGGCAAACAGTACGCAATCAAGAAATATTTGTTGAATTAATAAAACTGCTTTGGGCTTGTTCTCTCTGTGGCTTATTCATAGCCAGTGTAAACCCCAAAATGCTGAAGAAAAATGGGGGAAAAGGAAAAATAGAAAATCACACCAGGAGACCTAAGGCTTGGGGTAGAGCCCAGCCCTGCAGCTGATTTGCTGTGTGACAGTGGGCACACCACTGCCCCCTGGGCCTCACTCTCCCATCCCCAGGATGACTGGATCTGGTGGTGAGGGTCTTCTCAAGTCTGGCAGTGGACAGCCCCCTCCCCGGCTTCCATCCGAAGCTCAGAGGAGTCCTAACCCTGGGCCCAGCTGGAGAAAGTGGGTTTATTAAGGCCAGCCGTGTGGACACACCAGAGGGTCACGTGGCTACATCACCTGCCGGCACAGCAGACGGGCTTTGAGCCTTGAGAAGGCGGTCTGGGGCCCGGACGCCCACTCTACGCATTGTGGAATCTTGGAAGTATTACTTGGCTTCTCGGTGCCTCAGTTTCTTCTGTAATATGGGAATCATAGTGATTCCGACCTCCAAGAGCTGCTGCGAGGACCAGGTGGGGAATAGTGACAGTGTTTACCCCACAGGCCTGCTTCCGTGGGTGGGTCCACGTGAGGGGCAGAGAGAGCTGCCTGGTGCACAGAACAGACCCAAGACGGTGACCTGCCACGTGGGTGGTCCAGCCTGGGGACACTGGTCCCAAGTCAGCTCGGTCCTCAAGTGCATAGCCCAGGGGTGACCTCCTTGCCACGATCCCCCGAGCTCCTTGCTTTTCTCGCCTCTTCCTCTCTGACACCCATGTTGGATGGACCCCGGTGTTCAGGGCCCCAGGCATGCAGGGGGCTGTGACGTGAGGACCCAGACCTGCACTCGCGGCTTCCTGAGCCCCTGACGCTTCCCAGGAGACTAACAGAGCCGGCCTGGCGTGATTGACACTCACGCAAGTCGGAGGGGCAGCTCCTGGGCAGGAAGAGCAGCTAGAGTACACACCCCGGGATCTGAGTGGGGAGGGGCTAAGTAGCCTGTAAACCACAGGTGCTGACTCATGGCTCTGCTGGGCCCTATAAAGGAACCAGCCAAGGGGCTTCCTGCAGCTGGAGGGACGGGCTGGCAGGATTATGGCCCAGGGCGCGGTGATCCACATGACCCCGGAGCAGCCCACCCATGCCGTGTGTGTGCTGGGCACCAAGACTCAGCTGGATGTCTACGGGTGAGCAGGGACATTCTGGGGGCGGGGGACAGGCCCACCGATGCTGGATGAGCAGGTTCTGCAGACGCAGGACGTGGGGTTGGCTCAGACTTCAGGCTGCTGCCAAGGGAGATGCTGGAGGAGTGAGGCTCGCGTGGTCCTGGGATGTGCTGGATTCCAGGTGAGGGTTCCCCAGGGCCTCACCACAGGTGAATTATCATAGGGCAAGCAGGACCTTCTCCTTTCACCATTGAGGCAGTGGAGCTCAGAGAGGGTCTGTGACTTGCCAAAGGTCACACAGCAGGTGTGCCCTGGAAGGTAGGCGAGGCCCTGGACTTCATGACCCACACCTGGTTCACGGTGCAGTTCGTTACCCCCCACACACACCTCTCAGCCAAGCCTCCCTCCATGGGTGCGGAATAACCTATGTGTGGTGGGAGAAGCTGGGGCGGGAAACCTGTCCCTGCTGTTGGCCAGCTGGCTGGTCTTGGCCAACTGAGCCTCAGGTCCCTCATCTGTGAAATGGGGATGATACCTACTCCATAGTGTGGTTAGAGGGACTGAATGGGAAAGGCCGTGGGAGTGTGGAAGTACTTAGCGCAGAGCTGGACGTATTGCTGGTGGATTTTCATCCACCCATGCATCCAATCACCCAACAAATACCAGCTGCACACCTACTATGTGCCCGGCCTGCGCCAGGCTCCAGTGACACAAAATGGTCTATGGACACTCAGCAAGTGTGCATGGTCAGTGTCGTTATCGATCATCGTAGTGGCCGCCCCGGGCTTCCTCCCACCCAGGCTGGACGTCAGTGGTCCTAGTATGTGCCCACAGGAGTGTCTGGGACATTTCTTCCAAGTGTCACCTGACCCTGGGCCATGGTGGAGCAGCAGTAAAGTTCTGGGGGGCTGTCTGGAGCTGTGGCAAGGAGGCAGGAGACGGAGAGGTCGAGTGGTGAAGGATAAAAAGAGACCGATGTCGTCTGAGGCTGCTGACTCTTCCAGGAGTGAGCTCCTCCCTCAGTGAGACGTTCCACGCCCTGCCCAAACCCCACGACAATGGCTGCAGGTTCCACCCCACTCCCTACACAGGACTCAGTCATCAGCCTTAGGAGGCAGGCAGTGCTGTTATTCCCATTTTACAGAAGGGGAAGCTGAGGTTCTGAGAGGTCCAGTAACTGCGTAAAGCCACACAGCTCGTAGGTGAGGGAGCCAGGATTTAAACCGGGCTCTGGGACCCCACCCCCTCACTTCCCACCCACACTAAACAGCAGCCCCAGGCCAGCCGCCACCACGCTGACTGTGGCCTGAATTCCCTTCTGGAAACAGATGGGGTTGGCACTGCCTCCTCCCCAGCTCCGCTCCCCTGACCTCCTCCCAGCACACGCGTGCTCCACGCCCCTGCCGGAGCCTTGTCCTCTACCGCTGGGCTCAGAGCCCCCGGGGGGGTAGAAAGACAGCACTTCAGAGGCAGGAGCAGGCCCAGGGGTGTGGGAACCTCTTCCAGAGCTGCCACTTGTGATTTTCAGTCTACATTTGGGGAGTACTCTTCCCGTAATGAGAAGCATGTTGATTTTACTCGGACAAAATCCCACCGACCTGAGACAAATAGTGAAACCCGTCGAGGGCTTTCTGTGATGCTTGTGGCTGGAGTCAGGAAGGCAGTGTGACCCTGGCTACTATGTGCCAGGTCCTTCGGTCCATGATTTCTAATGAGCCTGTTTTAGAGATGAGTAAACTGAGGTTTCAAGGTCATACAAATTCAAGGTGACCAAGCCAGGAAATTCAAATCCAGGACTGCCTGACCCCAAATTCACTTGCTTCCCTAGCACACTGGGCCTCTGAGTGCTGTGGCACTGGCCTTGTTGGGCCCCGCTGCCTGGTTGGTGGAGCTCACGCAGATTCCAGAGGGCTTGGAAGGCCCGGAATGTTGTGGGCGGGGAGGGTCTGGAGTCACCAACCATGGAAGATGGTGAACGTCCTGATGCTGCAGTGGGGGGGCTTGTCCTCTTCCTCCCAGTGTCTCCGTCTCAGCAGACAGTTACTCAGCGTGACAGTGGGGGGCAGGGATGTCTCTAAGCCTCAGTTTACCCACCTGTAAAATGGGAACATTAACATCCGTGCTGTTGGGTTGTGGTGAGGATGACACCACGTAAGGCATGCCGAGTGTCCTCAGAGCAGTCCCCCTTCCTGTAAGGATCATGCGAGCCACTGAATGCGAGAGTCGCAGATGCTAAGTGCTGTCCAGCCTGGGGTCATAGGGAAGGAGATGCTGGATTCAGGATTTGGAGGGATGTGGGCACTTGTCTGGGGCTCGAGCTTTCAGTGCTGGCTCTGCAGAGGCTAGTAGAAATCACTGGAAGACCAGCTCCGAATTGTCTCACAACAGCACACATGGCTGCTCCCCCACCCCACTCACAGTGAAAACCCCCTTATGTTTTTGAAAGTCCCTTGTTTGGGGACCTGAGAGGGTCTGGAAAACAGCCAAAGGAAAGAACATTCATTCCAGCTCCAATCCCAGTGGCCGGGACACCCACTAGTGGAGTTTAGTAAATGTGGCATGGTGACCTTGTCAAGGAAGACTTGGGGGAGCCCACAATGGGACAGCAGATCCTCTGGCTGAGGAAATCGCCCTTCTCCTAGCCAGGAGCCCCTGGGACCACGAAGCTTGCCCCCACCCCATCCTCCGTTCCCCCAGCTCAAGGTCTGGCACACAGCACGGACACGTACATCTGGGGAGGTGAGGGGTGGCATGAGGGGCTCAGTGTGACTGCAGTATGGAGAGAAGGTAGAGGTGGGACGCATGAAGGAAGGGCACTGGCACCATCCCAACCCATTGTGCAGAGACGCGCAATGCCTAAAGCTGACCTTGACGAGGTGTCTTCAGCCCTCTGCCTCAGTCCTGCACCTGTGAGATGGAGAGAAGGTTGGTGAAAAGTCAACGAGCTGATGTGTGGAAAGAACGTGTTCGGGGCCTGGAGCAGAGTGAATGCTCTGTAAATGATCGCTGTCCTTGAAGGCTAAGAACCTGAGCTTGACTTTGTGTGGATGGCGTGAGGGCTAGGGGTGGGGGCAGGGGACTGGGTAACATATGAAAGGAAATCTGGGAATAGAGACTGGGAGAGTGTTGGGGAAATATGTTTCTTTTTTCATCTACTTCTTGATCCTTCAAAACAGACTTTAAAAATTTGTCTCCTGAAAGAAAATAATCAAAATGTCCATCCATGATGGTCCCTAAGTGGTAATATTCCATTTTCTTCTAGGCAGTTCTTCCCTCCTCCTCGTTCCCTCCCTCCCTCCCTCTCTCCATTCTCTCTCTTCCTTCTTTCCTCCCTGTCTGCCTCTCTCCTCCTGTCTTCCTTGTTAGTCCTCTATTAGCTAAGGATCACCGTGGGACAAATAGTCCACAAACCCAGTGGCTTGAAACAGTAGTGGCTATTATCTTACTGTTTCTGTGGGGCAGGACTCCTCCGTGGCTTAGCTGGGTCCTCCGCCTTGGGCCTCAGCGGTCAGGGTCAAGGTGCCAGTGTGGTTATAGCCATGTTGAGGCTTGGCTGAGGCAGGCTCTGCTTCTAGGCCCCCCTTATGGTTGTTGGTGGCTTGTTCCATCAAGGTGAGGAAGCCAAGGTTGGGGGGAGAGGAAGAGAAATGGGGGGACAGAGAAAGGGTCTTTTGTAACCTTATCACAGACATGACAACCCATCCCTTTGGCTTTTCCCTTTGGCCAGAAGGCCATCTCAAGGCCCTTTCCACCCTCCCTGAGGAGGGATTTACACAAGGGCGTGAGCACCAGAGGTGGGGATTACTGGAGACCATCTTTGAGGTCTCCTTCTCACAGACTTTTCCTGTGTTTTCCTAATTCTCTAGAAGGAATACATGTAGCTTTTGATACAGAGATTAAGAACTTTATGGCAAGAATAAAAACAGAAAACACAATTCTAACACACATCTTTGCGTCCTTGGGGAGTGAGCTCTGCTTTTCCAGGGAGCCTCCATCATGGTCTGAATCTGCTACGATGCTCTAGTCCTTCCACTGTCTGTGGGTCACTCACTGTTACAGAAAGTGCTGCTCTGAACGATCCCGGACATGTCTCCTGGTGGACACGTGCCAAGGATGCTCTGGGGTGTCTGTCTTGCAGTGGATTGCTGGGTTTGGGGCGGGCCGATGTTTGACTTCAAACAGAACACCAAATTGTTTTACAGAGTGATAAAGTTCACATTCCTCTGAGCGGTGTGTTAGGGTTGCCTTTGAACTGTCCACAGTGTTATTTTTCACCAGTCCAGTCAGGGTAGTATCCCTGTCCCGCTATGGCCTGGATATTTTTGTTTCCTTACTCATGAGTGGGATGAAGTGACTCTTCACATGTTTGTCATCCTTTTCTGTTGCAGCCTCTCTGAATACCTGTTCATATCGTTAGCTATTTTTTTTTCTATTGAGTTATCTTTTTCATATTGATTCACCCATATTCTTCACATATTCTAGGTGCTAAACCTTTTTGGTTTGATGTCATGAATATCTTCTCTGTAGATCATGCTAACTCTTTTCTCTTTATAGTGTCTTTTGATGAACAGAAGTTATTTATTCTCCTCTAGTTGAACTTAAAATCTTTTCTTTAATGTTTATTGGTTTTATGCCTTAAGAAAGAACATAAAGATGCTTGTGTCATCTTCTTTTAAAAGATGCAAATACCTGTTTAAGATAAAACTCTCAGTAAACTTAGAGGGGAATTTCCTCAACCTGATAGTCTACCAACAAAAAAACCTACAGATAACATCAACCTAATGGTGAGAAACTTGCAGCTTTCCCACTAAGATGAGGAGAAAGGCAAAGATGTCCCCACTCACTACTGCTTTTCAACATCATACTAAAATTCCTAGCAAATGCAATGAGACTAGAAAAGGAAGTAAGAGAGATACTAATTTTGAAAAGAAAGAAATAAACCTATCTTTCTTTGAAGATGACAAGATCATCTATGTAGAAACTCCAAATGAATTAATAACAACAACAACAAAAAAAACCCT